CACATTCAATATGAAATTTAGGGAAATTAAATTAATGAAAAGCTAATGGCAGGTTCACAGCCCAGTCATTAAGGCTCTCAAATTGCATTTTGCCTGTGCCAGAATACTGATGCAGGCTCAGAGGCTCCCAGGTAGCTCAGCAGGTGTCCACTCATCGTCGTTATTATTACGGCACCTATCAGCTCTAGCCAGGGTCAGGTCCTCGCCGTACTCACCACAATACGACAAAATGAAGTGGCAGCATATTGCAGAGCCTATCTCAGAACGACGGACCTAGAATTATTTCAAATGGACAAAATTGGCTGATTTTGATGGAATTAGGACGCTAGAGTGGATACAGTAATTTGAATAGTGTGTTTTAAGGGCTCTCATTTTAACAAAGCTGCCTAAAAACACACGCACGCACTTTTATACGCACTTTTGTGCAAACTGTCAATATATACATCCAACATTTTAGCCAACAAAGACCATAATGAATAGTTTCTCATCTGCTCAGAGACAATGAACCTACTTTCCTTCTCCTAATTTAACGATATTACATTCCCCAATGTACTTTGTATTTTTACAGCAGTACGAACGCTGTAAGCTGGAGATACCACTATTATGTCACGATTCTCGTGATATTTGGTGGTTCTTTTTCTTAAAGACGTTATTTAACTAAAATTAAAAGAGAAAAGCTACACTTCTGGTTCATAAGGTGCCGAGGAAACCTTCAAAAATGCAAAGGTCTCAGGAATACAGGAAGCAAACAGGAGAAATCTTCCACAAAATCTCCCCACCCCCCCTTTTATTTTTTATTTTTTTAAATCTCAGGATACTGAATACCTAATTGACAATTTTGAAAGCTTAGCTTTAACAATTCTTCTCGTGATTCCAAAATGAGTAGTTGTCATGTGCTCTTTACAATGATGGACACGGATAGTTCTACACGTCACCCAGCATCCTAGGACCACCCTTTCTGTCCTCTCCAACGTGCAGCCAGGCCCTGACGCTGTCACTAGATCCGCAGGAGGTGGCCACAGCACTCAAGTAGGCACGGGGGGCACAACAGATCTTTTCTCCTGTGCAGGTCTTTTATGCAGGCAATGACAAGGGAAAACATTCTTTTTAAAGCAAAATAATTGTAAACCCACAAAATTTGGCAGAAAAAACTCAAAGGAGGCGTTGTACCAGAAACTTATTTTCTGTAAACTAAATATAAAATTGACTTCATCAACTTGAAATTCTCACTTTCTGTTAAATTTCATAAAATTATTATAAGCTAGGAGTTGGGAAAGTTCCACAATTTACCGTCAACTACAGCAAGCTGCTTCTGAAAATAAATCCCCGACTACACTGTGTATGGGATAACAGAAGTAAGAAGCTGCTATGTGTTCATGAATCATGGCTTGAGTTTTTCAAAATCAGTAATTAGCAGAACACAGTGACCCAACAACTATTTTTAGTGCTGTGTATTCAAAAAGTAATTTACGTGTAGGTATTATTAGACGCACGTTTAATTTCAAACCACAATTACACGAAGTTTTAATTACTAAATATTAAGATACATTTTAGCATATGGTTTATGATTAGCATTTGTAATTCAAGCTATAAACAATACAACTAATTACATTTATTGGTGGAACTTTACTTCCCACACATGTTCAATCACTTTCAATTATTCCCCCAGTAATCTATGACCCAGCAAGGTACAGAAATTGTGTGCCTGCGCGGCAGTAACTGGGTAACAGTTTCTGTGCATTCAAGCATGATATTACAGACTCACCCTGTTTTTCTTAACATCTCACAATCACAGACACGCAAAAAACGTAGATTAAAAAGCTGCAAAGACCAATAAAAATGTTAGATGCTGTGGCATGTATTTGAAAATTGCAGCCAGGTTTTACTGGTTTGTTTAATGAAGGGCTTCCAAACCATGGCTTGATTTTTACGGTGAGATGAAATCTGGAATGAAGACCCGGCTTGGCCACCAAAGGTTTGTAAGCGAAGAGGCTCCTCCTTTTATACCCATTTCAGATGCGGCGCTCCTGTTTGCTCGCTTTTCACTTTTGAGTTTTCCCACCAAAATGCATGCCCGCACCCCAGCACTGGATTTCAGGATCCTGCAGAGCACCTGGACGTGTCCTGCCCCTGCAAAGCCCAACACTTCCCCGCGCCGCTCCGGGGGAGCGGCAGCTCTCCCCACGTGATGGTGCGAATGACCATGAACGAGTTTCTGCTTAATATCAGGTTTCGTCGGGTTTCTCTGCCTAACCCCAGAGCATCTGGTTTTCACCGAGAGCCTGGCACCCGGACGAAGGGATGAGCTGGGGATCTCTGTGACCGAGATGATCGTGAACGATCGGGAGAGACCTCGCAGCACCGAACACGCCAAGTGAGTTTAAAAGAGATTCATTGGAAACGCAAATGTTTTTGGACTTTTCTGCTTGTTTTCTTGCTCCCTGCGGGCACAATAAAATGCAGAGGGCCCAGAAACCTTCACTCCAAATTAAAGCCATATGCTTCACACTGCTCTCCTGTAAGGGGCACGGACGCCGAAGGCGCAGCTGTGCAACAGGTCTCCATAACTATTGTAACCTACAATTTTATGAATCAGTTGACCCAAAATTCTTGCACAGCAAGTGTAGAGGTGGCACAGTTGCTATATGGGGTAGCTGCTCTATCTCCCTCATCATCTCCCCCACACAAAGCAGGAAAGAAAGTGAAGTGACTGAATATGTATTTGTCATAAGACAGTAATTGCCCATCAGCTGCTCCGTTTCTTTTTTTTTTTTTTTTTTTTTTTTTTTAAGAGAAAGGAGATCATAACAAAATAAAATCTTACAAATTAATATTGTGATAGAATAGTTCAGGCTTTACTCCAATGCTCTCTGCTTCAGTGTATGCATTATTTAATTAAACTGCTTCCAGTGGAGCTCAGTTATCAAACCACCTCTACCAAAACCAGGTGTTAATACCCTTTGATTTTTTAAAAAAAACAATCAGGCTACATTAAATATACTTCTCAGGTCTAGTTTTGCATGACAGATATGTGATGGTTATATATTATATTCTTCCTCTCAGGCATGCATCTCCTGCAGAGACAGCAGACTACAGAAGCTGACCCTTACTGAGACCATCTTGTCTCTCTGACAAAGCTCCTTTTTAACTTCTTACTTACTGGTCGCTTCCTGCGATGGATAAAAACTTTAGCTCAGCTTGTGATAATTTCACAGGCCCTGAGCACCCTGACCCTGGAAGCCCCAAGGTCAGAAGTCAAGTCTTGTTCTGAAACATCTGTGTGCTTCATATTAAAGTAGAACAAAAGTGAAGAAATATCCACCAGTGTGACAAGAGAAACAGGCAAAATGGGAATGACACGTTGGTCATCTGTTACCCATGCCACCTCAAGCCACTGACTGAAATGTGATGGAAAAACTCTCCAAGACTCCTTCGAATAAGCACTTTGTTTAGGAAACACTGAGAAAGGTCTCCAGTCAATTTTTATTCCTGCCCTGTGCTAAGTGTATGTATCTGTAGGCGTCCGGCCACCCAAACAACGTGGCTTTACAAAACCTACAGAAATTCTGCTAACGCTTCATGTTGGACAGAGAGGGCACACCAGAATAACCTGGGCTGGAACACAGGGCAGATGAAAAGCTCAAGAAAGCCAAGGCAGAAGAGATGCTCCCTACCCTTCGCTGCATCCAAGGAGCAACGGGCGTACACAACACAACCCGTTTCCTGCCCAAAGTTGTGGCTATAGAAGGCATTAATCAGCTTCACTAATTTGGTCCCTTAAGAAGTTTGTTTTGAGAATATTTATTGACTTGGTAATAAAATACCTGTGGAAAATGATCAGCTGAAGTGTTTTCAAGTCTCAAATCTGTACATGTCATCTGTATTTTAAAAATACTCTTCCAGAAGCACAGGGAAAACCAAAATGGCCTTAATTTCTACAAATGAAGAAGGTAAACAAAAATCTTAAGTTCTTAATATAATACAAGTGGTCCTGCTCTGGATTCTTCTTGCTGCTTAGAGCAGCCCAAGATCAAAAACAAAACACTCATGCATGTTTTTTCTTAACTAAGGCATTCATCTTACGTTCAGGCAGGAACCACTTGTACTAACTTTCAGTTAGACTCAACTAATGTGTTATAGACAAAAGATGAACTGATTCCCATGTCTATAAAACCAACGGCAATGTTCTGCAATTTACGTTTCCACAGTAAACAGGACAACAGGACCGTCTTTTTTTTTTTTTTTTTTTTTTTTTCCAGTTTTCTACAATAAAGGATGTCCTGATTACACCAGCATTTCACTGTTAAGTGAGATTACAGCCCCACCTAAAGAATGGTATGTATGTTAACAGGAAACTTAAGACACAGGCTGAGGTCAAAAAATTTGCCTTTAAAAGGTGAAAGACTGATAAACTGGATGTTTGGTGGTGCCAGCATCAAGGATTGGGCTGCTTTACACCGAGCAGAGTCCTCTCCACCTTGCATCACCGCAGGGTTTATCCAGAGCCTAATAAATGGCAAAAAAAGTCTCCCCAGAAGCTTCTGCAGGCCTCTGCAGAAAAACTGCAGAATTGGGTAAACCCCCCAAATTTCCCCTCGTGTTCAGTTCCGATCTATATACAGAAAGGTGCATTCATTAATGTGACTTTGCTTTAAAACTGTTATTGTATGTCCTCAGTCTTCACCTCCAGTCTTTCTGCCCCAGAGCAGAAACTCACTGAGTGCTGCCTTTCAGCACGCAGCCTGGACAAGGAGGATCCAATGCATTTTGTTCTCCCACAGTCTTTCAGGTTCGTGCACACATGGGGCCTTATTGTCTAACAGAGAAAACAGAGAAAAATGCAGTGACCTTCCAGCTGCAAATAAAATCCTCCCAGACCTGCATCTGACCATCGGTTCAAAGTCGTTCCTAAGCGGCTGCTTTCAAGAAGGTGGTCGCAAAGAATTCAGAAAATCTCTGAAAGACTTCAGGAAAGAAGGCAACGGAGAAGTCACACTTACCAACTCTACAAAGGCAAGTCCACCGTAACTGTGAGCCACAAAAAACACGTTCTCTGCAGCTGACTGGGAGATAAAATGGTCCCAAACATAAATTGCATGTTCTTCGGGAGATCCATTATCCTGCAGAAAGAAATTACGTTTGTGACAATTACCTTTTAAAAACTGGCAATTCTGTCTAAAAGCAACGTGTTCCTATATGTTAAAATGTTTTCTTAAAACAAACCTCAAATGAATATACTCTAGTGTCAGAAAAAGAACAGATTCATTTGACTAAATAAAAGAAATTTAAGATCGCAATTTAAAGGCAGTAAAACTGTTGCTTTATTATGGCTTATTTTAATAAATACAACAAAAATTACGCATCTGCAAAATTTTGTCTAAATACCATGATGGCAATTCAGCTAAACAGAGGCATTCAAAGAAATTATGAGCCACTGCTCTGATTTTCATTCTTTTGACAACTCTTTGTCAAATGTTTGTTCACTGATGGTTTGTTTAAAGTAGTTAAGCCCTAGTCGGATAAAACAAATAAAAACAAGCAGGAACAATATAGATATAATTTCAGTCTTTAACAATTTTTTCATATTGTGGGCCAATGGAAATCTGCCAAAGATTAAAATTATGGTATTTGCCACTACTCTTTTAAATGTTATTTTTTGCAACTGCAGACTAAGAGATACGGCACAGATGAAACACCTCTTGACTGCTTACACACCAGCCACTGCCTTGGAGTCTCCGGTAGGTAGGGGAGTGCTTTTTCTTATTATTGAACAAGAATTTGTGAATGTTAGTCAGTGTAAGAGTGACTGGGGGCACTGGAGCGATTTTACACTGATTTCAGTGCGCTCTCCTCGAAGACGGGGGTTGTGCGCTCCCACCTCTACAGTAGAGGCTCTCGGGAAGCCCTGTACCCATCTATACTTTACTTATTTCTCAAGTTGCCCCTGTCGTAACTACAAATCTGCCTAGTCTCAGGTGACAGACAGTAAGATGCTCTGCTAGCTCCCCTGCCCCGCCAGGATTTCACACCTCCAGCACAACGCTGCAGGTACTTTCCAGGCTCTTTTGTGCCAGAAAGAGTTGATCAGTCAAGGTCATGTCATTTCCTAAAATATTCATCCCTTTCCCCTTGGTTCTGCTACAGCAACAAACTTCATACCCCTAGGTGACTCAGACACAGACCACAAAACCCTCATCTCCTTGGGGAAGGTAAAGCACAAACCGGCAAAAACCACTGGCAATCAGAGGATGCTAATTACATAGCGTGAATTACTGCAACCTTACCAAGAACACTGAAGTGATTTGGGTCTTAGTCCCATTCTGCAAACTCAGTTTGGGGAATTTAAGCTCATACGAGCGTCTAAAATCAGTGGGAAGACAGACAACTAAATAACATGGTGGATTTAGGCTTTTACTTCTATTCTCGTGCCCAGCTTCTGAAAAAACGAGCGAGATGGCTACAAATCTTTACGGATCTGGACCCAAAGCTTTTAAAACAATTATGTGCTTTTAAATTTTTATTTTTTTTTTCTCTAAAGGCAGCGGCGATTAAAACTTATTTATCAAATTTGCCAAAAAGCACTGAAGTGCTCTGAAACATTCTTCTTAATCCCGGACAGATTCTGCTCTTGATTGACTATGACAGAACATAGTTTTAACTAATTATGTATCAACTATTGTAAACCACCTCAGCATGAGAAAGGGCTTATTTTCTTTCAACCCTGTTTTGAAATCTGATTGTAGAGATTGGTAAAGGAGGTGAAGACTACTCCCTTTGTGAGGAAAAGAGGGAAGTTTTTCAAACGAAATTTCATAAAGAAAATATGATTGACAGGCCGGTTATTAAGATAAAGCTGAAGGACAACTTGAACTGGAGATTCCTATGGAAAAGTGATGTTCTCTAATTATGATACCTATGGAAAACACACATTAAAACACCGTGAGAGTTTTTAAGTGACTGCTTTATCTAAAAATCTCATTTTATTTAAATATGCAAGAAATATTTGGTTTTAAATAATAATGTTACCGTTAGTTCTCTTAACAGCAATTTTTGTAGATTTATTTTGCTTTAACATTCCGGCAAAAAGGAAGTTAACAGTGCATTTTCAGGTATTTTGTATTTATTTTTCTATACGCTGCTGGGAAAAGCAGACATTTTTAGGGTTTCCACAAGACTAAGAGAGCAGCAAGAAGCTTCTTGCTTCAGAAACTCAGCCCGAAAAAGCTTCCACCAATTAAAGCATAACCAGTGGTTTAGTAAACCACATCATTAACCACGCAGCTTCACAGTCCAGTACAAAGACTCTACAGGATTTTACAAAAGCAAAAAGAAAATGAGCTAGAATGAGTTAGATATAGACTGTAACCAGAGTTTCCTTTGTTACTGCTGAAAAACAAGCCATAAAATGTCAGGATAAACTGTGTTGCTGTACATAACTCTGCAAAACTCTAAACAAGAGAAGCACGTATGTGTGAGAAGGAGTTTGGAGGACTCGTGTATGTTTAGAAGAAAAGCTCTTTTCTTCAGAGCATCTGCTTATTCTTTCTCCTCGTAACAATCCCGTGTTTTAAACAACTCGGAGGGAGAATAAACTGGTGCCGTGTCTGTCAAGAAACATCCAACTGCAGGGTACGGCCGAGCTCCTCAGGGCTTTGGGTTGTGCTGGGTCTATTGGGATTAACCTTCTCTGCCTGGCCTGGCTTAAATTCTGAGGCTGAATGCTGCAGTTTTGGTTTGAAAGGTGACAGTTTCAGGCAGTTGTTGCTTTCCCTCTTTTCACTGCAGCTACACAGAATGCACTTAAGATACCACGTTGTTAAATTAATTGATAAAGTGGGGGCCTCTTGGTCATGCTTTACAGAATTATCTATATGACTGTAGAAAAAGGAATGGAGAAATCACGGTATGTACCTCAGAAGGCAGCTGAGGCTGAGCGCATTCTCATTTGTGAAACAGACTGAGATGGAGAGGTGCTGGGAAAGATGAACTTAAAATTTTCAGCTGCTGAAAGTTGGACATTTGTAATTCTATGTCTACGTGAGTGGTCTGATTCTTTGGAGGTGAGGAAGTCAGAGCTGAGGGTCTCCATCCCTCTGAAAATATCCCCACCTAATATATATATATAATTAGAAATAAAAGAAAAAAAAATTACGAATGATTAAAAGGCCTCTGTGTGACACAACCAGTGCAAAGTAACCCAAAATCAGGCGACTACCAGACTGCTGCAGACGAGGCACCTCCTGAGTGGAGCCCTGCACCCCATCTCCTTGGTGCTCCGGCAGGGAATGGAGCTGATGCTCTGAGCACAGAAGGTTTAACCTTCACCTCTGCCTCCCACTGCACAAAATCCCACCCGCCTCCATTTTTAATGGAATGCCATGAGTAAGATTTACCCTCTCGTTCACTAATAAATGAAAAGACATCTGTGCTTTTTCCTAAAAACTACTGTATTTTAGTTCCTTTCACTGACAAAACCAGAGCAAATATACCTCCTTGGCCACCAGTGGCTACCAGCTCTACAGAGAGTATCAGACATTCAGTGCCCGTCATCCCTGCATGCAGCAAATCCCACCAAAGAGTGCCCTGGAGATAAGGGTGGTTAAAATCATTTAACACAAGTATCACCGGGGAATTTTAGGTTGCTGATGTTCTCTTTATTCCTTTTCCAAAATGGTATAGGAGGCACACACTTCCGGGACCTGCTATAAGAGGGGCATCCATAAAAGTAATACAGAATATCGGTAGCCAGATATTAGTTTCTGATTAACAGGTGCATGGGGCTAATCAAAAAGATGCTCTTGCCACATGGACAAGCTCCTTTTGAATGAGAAATTATCACCAAGCGTTAGCAAATAGAACGACATTTTCTTTCATGTGGAAGAGATGAGTATTCACGAATACTGGTTTAAGAACAGATTACTTTTTCTGGTGATAAAAGTTCCCCCCCCCCTCCCCTCAGTGATTCTTAAACACTGGCTCTTAACTACAAATTAAAAAAGCCTCACTTTTTAAACCAATATAGGAATTGCTCAAAAAATGATCATAAATGGTTAATACGGAGCTTTTTATCTTAATATCAAAAGCTTAATCAAATAATTTAATAGTAGTCTACGAAAATAATATGACAATGATTAATAAATTCATGTTTCTCATATATATGAGGCCATTTATATCCCAGGGCCAGAACCTCTCTTACAGCTGCCTGAAGCAGCAGCTTGTGGTACGGAAGAGGCTGGTGGCTGCCGATCTGCTCGGCCTCGACTCAAGTCCTGGCGTGGGTTAGGGACGTCCTGGGCTGCTCCAGCCTAGACCAGCTGGGCTCGGTTTAAGTGGGACCTTACAGTGAGAAGGGTAGCCCACGACCACGCTATTTCAGGGTCTGTGCGACGCCGACAGAAACACATTTGTGTAAAACGCTGCTCCTTGTCTCGTTTCAAAAAGAGAGAAAAACAGTTCACAGATTCAAAATTCTCTCTGTAATAGTTTTTAAGTCCCTGAAAGCCCCAGATGACTGTGGGTAAATTCTCGGGCCGTCCATTGTGCAAAAAAGTGGAGGAAGAGACCACAGATTCTGGTCTGTCATTTTTTCTGACATTGCTAGCGCTCGGAGTTGAAAGGTAGGTAACATTTGAACGGCTGGAGCCATTAGGAATACACAGATAAGCAGCGTGCACACCGTGAATACGCTGCTACGTTCTGTTGCATTCAAAGAACCAGGTTGAATTTACTAATGTAATATCACAGTCATTAATTGTTAAATACCAAGCTGAAGTGATGCAGCAACCGAAGCCTTATCAACTATGCCAGATTCTAACACCTAGACATTGCAAGGTCTGCAGTTATGATGGACTACCTGAGTTGATAACACATGGAATTATCTAAACAACATTTGCATATTTGTGTAATTATTTCCTAAGGTTAATTAGCTCCTGCAAAGCAGCTTGCCCTTTGAGACTGCTTACTGTGACAGGTTCACATATTTCCTGTTTCAATGCCAAATTTTACTTTTTTTTTTTTTTTTTTTTTAAAATGGAGGCCTTGAATGACTACAGACTTTACTGGGGCAGAGCAGCTCAGATCCAGTCCTAAACTTCTAATTCACCAAAACTCAGAAAAATCA